ATTTTCTAACTCACGTGGCTTCTGACCAACCAAATCTGACCTATGGAAACTTTGTTTTTAACCTATATACATTCTTGTTTGCCATAATTGCCTGATTGCCTGTAGACGATCAATTGTATACAAGACGCTGAAACAAAGGAATACTTCTCAAGCAGCAGATAACTTTTTCAGAAACGTCTGTAGTGCACAGAAGGTACTTTCAGGAAGAAGGGTGCACTGTGCAAGCTGTGTGCCCTCGGTCCAGTCATTTGGTGCCCACAGTTTACGTCCTCTTCTATGAAATAAAGAAACTGAATGAGATTCTATCTAAGGTTTCTTTTCCTTCTGAGATTTCTTTTCCTTACTCTGTCAAATGAGATCTTGCCTTGAGTTCAAGTTTTTTCCCCAACATCCAAACGGATGTTAACAAATATAATGTCTATGTGAAAAATTATTTTCACATTTTCCAATTTGTGTGTGTATGGGTTTTGTTCTTGTTTGTTCTTGCTCTGTCACCCAGGCTAGAATTCAATGGCACAATCTTTGCTCACTATAAACTAAACTGTCAAGCGATCCTCCTGCCTTGGCCTCCCAATTTGTGTTTGAATTATTAATTTTAATGTCAAAGTACAGAAGTTTACTACAATTCAGTGGCTTTTTTTTTTTTGCTTTTGAAGTGTAGTGATAACCTTTTCGTATTAAATCTTATAATAGTAGAATGTCACAGGTGAAAATTAGATTGTGTGGTTAAACAATTATTGCTTATTTTGTTGTCTTTTATATCACATTAACCTTTCTGGTTGCTTAATTAATAAATTGTTGCAAAACTCCTAGTTCTTAAGGTAATAAACTTGATACAGCATGCTAATTTTTCATTTTTCCCCTGAGAAGTCTGGTAATCTCATTGTCTTCTCCAAATCCTTCTTCAAAGTGTTATGGGATAGACTTATTCTTCCTACTTTGAAGTACAGAGATGACACTAAGAATTAGCAGCAGTGTCCAGTTTATGTGAGTAACAGAGCTGTAACAATAGGCACCACTTTGCCAAATTTCCATAAGAGTAAACGTGACTCTAGCTGTCCTATTTCAGTCATTTTTATCCTTCCGTTTATTTTGAAGTTTATATAATACTAAAAGGCACATGCTTATATCTTTTTAAAAATATTTTGTTGCTGTAAAATATATCAGTCTATTGAATAGACAGAACAGTCCTTTAGAAGTGTAATAAAATATATTTATTATATTTTATTAATAAATATATATAATTAATAAATAAATATATATAATATAATAATAATATATTATATTATATAAAGTCCTTCATATTACCAATAGTTCTAGTTAAAAGCCCCTGGGGAGCTCGCTTTCCCTTGCTGTCATAATTTTTAATCTTTTGCCCATACACCTTATATTTGACTCTAACTTTTCCTACCCTTCTACCAGCGTTTGTGGCTTGCCACAGGTCCTGGGAGAGAAGAGTGGGTGGTGTGCCGTTTGTATAAATCCTCCCAGCACTTATCCTGTCTTTTATATTTTACCGCTAGCACTAGCCAGTGGTGTCCTCTGTTCTTCCATGTCACCTCTTTCATCTCCCACTCAGGGGCATCTTGTGTGCAGTGCCCAATAGTGTTTATTGTCTTTAGGAACAAAGGAGTGTGTTAAAAGCTATAGGGTGAGGAAGGGGAACTGGGAGAAGAGAAAGAAGACCACGTATTTCGGGCACCCCAGGTTGCAACTGTTTCTAAATCAGCACTAAAAAGTTTGCTTAAGATGTACTTCAGATGCAATGCTATGATAGTATAGAACCTGCTCATCATGTGAAAGTGTTTTCAAAGTCCACAGACAGACAGTATTTAAATAAAATTTTAGAAAGCAATCCACCTGTAAATTGAAAAGTTTAGTGAAAATGAAGGAAGAGACACAATGGCTTAGAGTTAAGGCATATGCCTAAAGTTAAAATCCCAGCTTATGTACTAAATGGATGTGTGAACCTTGACAAGTTGTTTAAGCTCCATAAATTCATTTTTTGTATTCATAAAATGGTGATGATAGAAGTACTTATTATTGCATCATAGAATTGTTGGGATTTAATTAGATATGGATATAAGTGCATATGTGGACATTTAAGCAATAAATATTCACTTTTCCTGAGAAAAATTATATAATATATAAATAATGCCTCGGCAAGTGGAGATCTAAATCCAAACTTTATTTCAGAGCTTAACTGTGTTTTATGTTTTAAAATACATTATAATTCAGTAAAGCTGTTTTCTGAGGGTGTTTAGTGAGAAAGGTAATCATTATGTAAGTCAAAGATTTTTTTTATGTCATCTTCCTCTTCTCCCTGGAAGAGACGATAAAATCAGTCCTTAGCCTTGGTGTGAACAACCTTGAGTTGGTGCTAACAAAATGTCTTCAGCCTTTTTTATAAGCAGTGTCAGGTAATTGCTCTTCTTTTTGGTTATTTATCCTAAAGATAAGAACATTAGTAAGCCATAAATACCCATTTTGTAAAAACTGCATAGCTAGACAGATTTGTAATCCTTATTAGGGTAATAATCCATCTGTTATGGAACTGGATCAATTTGTAAATTAAATTGATTAAAAGGAGGAAAAAAAAGGGCCATGACTTTTCCCCCATTAAGCATTTCCTCAAATGCTAAAAAGATCTGGGGAGACTGAAACTCTTCCTCTCTTTGCTCAACGCAGAGAAGGCCAAATATCTATTAAAAAGAGGGGTGGGTGCAGTTTATGTTTATGTTTTTAATTATGATTGCTCCTGAAAGTTTCATATTTTTGACAGGGTTTATTGTTAAAACCTTTTGATGACTGCCGGAACAGTTCTACTGTTCTCACTGATGAGTTTAGTAAATGTGTGACTATGTTTGAATTTTCTTCTGCACTTAGCTCACTTTATTGTTATTTTCATCCTGTCTGATAAAAAAAAATCTGATGATTCTTCTAACAATGTGTGATTGGAATAATAACTTCACACACTGAAGAGTTTTGTGCTGCAGCTGAGAGGCATGTAAATACAAGCTGCTTATTTGCAAGAAGCTTCCAGATTTGCAATATGATTGCTATGGAAACCACATAATGAAAACCTTATAACCATCTGTGTGGTTTGATGGATTTTACTGCATAGCTGAGCTGTTTTTGTTTACTGTTATTAAAATGTTGAATGGAATGTATTAACTCACAAACATTGGCTCTTTGAGGTATTAATTAGTATTGTACAATGATTGTGCCTCAACACTAAAATACATATTTAATAATCTAAATAAAAAACATGTGAATGTATATATTTCTAATATATTGTGAAGGTGATTATTGCCTATAATTTTGGTCACTTGTTCTTACATGTATTTTTGGCGAGCTTTGTTAAGATTTATTTTTATGATTTTTTTAATCCATTTGTTTACTCTGTATTTATTGAACATCTCCTTTGTACCAAGTTCTATTCAAGGTTCAGTTTGAGGGTTTTTTCCTGCCCAAGATTCAAAAACATACACAATATTTGATTTTGTTATCTTTTATAAGAAAGCTGTTTGTATTGTTAGTCCAAGATAAAATGAGTTGATAAAATGAGTTGTTTAAATATTGTTAAGAAAAATTGATATAAGAAATGCATAAGGCTTTGATTTAAAAGTATCATCACCAGGTTTAAAATGGAAAAAGGAAGTGTCCTTAATGAGCATCTCATCCTCTAAAATCTGCTTATTAAATATCATCTCACATGGATTTTAATTTGGATATTAAACATTGATACTTAAGTAAATCCTTTAATACCATTATTCTTATAATTTAAGAATACACATTTCTAAGGACAAAGCTCTCTGACACCAACATACAATTCAGAGCACATATTACTGACACTTAAATTTTAATAAAATTAAAAATTCATAGACAAATACTTCTAAATTCATTAAGTTTGCCAAAGAGCAGCATTTTTTCATTAATTACTGTAACCAATTTTTTTCTCTTGATGCTGATTTGGGTGGTGAAATCTAAATCCCACAGTCCCTTTTCTTGTTTTTGAGATAGAGTTTCATTCTTGTCGCTGAGGCTGGAGTGCAGTGGTACCATGTTGGCTCACTGCAACCTCTACCTCTCAGGTTCAAGCAATTCTCCTGCCTCAGCCATATTGGCCAGGCTCGTTTTGAACTCCTGACCTCAGGTGATCCACCTGCCTTGGCCTTCCAAAGTGCTGGGATTACAGGCATATGAGCCAATGCACCCGGCTCCCACAGTCTCTTTAAGTCAGGAATAGTTCTTACTGCATTGACATGGTTACAGCTTTTGACTGAGGACAAGTGCTTTTAACCATTTTTTAATTTACTTCTTACTATTGAATTTGTGACTAAATTAAAAGGGGAGTGGGTGCTACAGAAAGCAAATGTGAAAAGTAAGGAAAGCTTTCTCCTTCACCTTTTACAAAACTGTCTGTCAATAAAACGAGTAGCTTAGAATAAATGACTGTAAATAACCTTGAAGGATGAGGATCCTTATAGTATCCTGTGAAGATTAAGTGAGAAAACAAATGAAATTATATGATATTCAATAAATGATTTGTAGGTTAACTGTATTTTTAATCACACGTTTTCTCCTTGCTATATGATGTTTTAGGGACCATGATTTCATATATGATACTCCTGCCACACAATATAATGTGGTGCATCAGTATAATGCTTGGTGTCGCTTTCCTGGATTTAGGGCTTTACGGAAATAAAGATCATTCCAGATGAGTTTCTAAAAGTATTTAAAACAAAACATGCAGTGCATTAGTACATATCTTAAATTTTGCCAAGCCATTTGGAAAGGTTGCTATTTGGAAGTAGCTGGTATTTTTTTTATTTAGTGTTAGATTGTTGAGAAAGGAATGTGAATCTTGAGTTGTTTTATTCTTTGAAAAATAATGTTTTTGTTATAAACTTTTAGTTTTGCTTTTAAAATGGAGTGAGTCCTGTATTGTTTTCCCTGAGAAAACCCCTCAGTGTGCCATTGATAATGTTTGTTTACAGAAGAAGAAGAAGACAGCAGCGCTCCTGTGAAAGTGGAAGAACAAGGGAAGATAAGTCAGGACAGCGTTCATCACACCTCAGGTAATGAATTGTGTAGCTTCCTGGCAAACCTTATTTTGCTTTTGTTCACTTTCATTTTATCCACGTTCTTACTGTTCTGAAGACGTTTACACAGCTCCCCAAAGTTGGCTTGTTTGGCCTGGATATCTTATGGCTGATAAGCTGCTTAGTCCCATTTAGGATGCATGAAAACCACTTGAGAAGGATTTATAAAGTAAGCCAATTTATACAAGGTATTCCTTCCTGAATTACTTTGTAATGACTCAATTAGCTTTCATTTCTGCACAAAGGAGATTTAGTTGCATAAATTAGCTTATCATCATTGAGGAAGTGTCACTGCTAAAGGACAGTTTATAGATACAACATGCAGTTGCTGTCAAACCTATAAGAATGTAATATAGACATCTGTGTATACTTTGTGCTTGAGCAGAACAGACTTCTGCCATTCAGAGACTAACAGGGGACAACAAGTTGCCCAGGGGACTGGCAATGTAGACGTCTCTGAAAAGGTCAACTTGACACAGGCTCTGACAATCGACCCACAGCTCTGTCTTCTTTGATAAAAATCAGATAAACTTAAGACCGCTAATTGATCTGCAGCCTGTTTAAATGTTGGCCATGCATATCTTCATTGCATATGATTAACACAGCAAGCAAATGAATTGGGTAAGAAATGCCAGAGTCCAGTGACAGCAGTTTAAAAATTGGAAAAGGACACTGGTGGCCTAAAAGGCTAGGAAGGATGTTCCCCTTATCCATTTCCACTTGGCACATAGCCCCAAGTACTAATTATGAGTGAGACTGGAAAAATAACTGCACACGCTCTGTGCAAAATCACATGATATGGACAACTTTTCTTGCTTGTTGTTATTTCCAAATAGCAGGAGATAAACCATATCTGTAGTGCAAGCATGAGGTTAGTTTTGATAAACCAGCAATTATTTTACACAGAAAGAAGAAAAAGACTGCCTTCTTATCAGGGCTTTACACCTCTTCATAACCACATGTCAGCTGGGGCAAGGTCTGCCATATCATCTCTGTGTCTTGCAAAAAGCTAGAGTTAGGGTCACCTTCCCCTCTCTGATATGTCCATACATCACTCTTTCAAGCTGTCAAGGCTGGGTGGACAAGAAGTGTATGTTCAGGAAGTGGCTTTCCAGAGTCCTTCCTACTGTGACATGTGGAAAGGAAACAGAGGCCTGATTCTAGACCTGGACAGGAAAGCAGAAGTAGGTTGCTACAAAAGGTTTTGGTTAGTGTTTTTTTAGAAAGGAAGCAAGAACAAAATCATTACATGTTAGCACTCCAGTCCTATAAAATGTAACAATAAAACACTGAGGCTTAGCGAAACCTTGAGGACTCTGTTCAATAATAATTTAAGTATATATGTTTTGGGTTATATATCATGAAGCTTCTGCCAAAAGCATATAGTTTTCTTTTTTTAAAAATTTCAGTGCAGGTATAGAAGGTAGATACAGATGGTCCTTCCACAGATACAAATATTCTGGCTTAAAGTAATTGTATTTTTCAAAAACCCTTTTAAAGTAAACATCTCCCAAAATTTTGCTTTTGAGGGTAGGAAAAAAAATCAGTTTTCCTCAAAGGAATGCAGTAAATAGATCTATGCTTTCATGCAATAGCTATATAAGCACTACAATAATTCTTATCTTTAGTGACATGAAATTCTTTTCAAGCAACAGTTTTAATGCTTTTGCATAGTAGTGACCTTTGCTCTTCCCTAGGCTGTCAAAGATGTAACACTAGAAGTTTGTTTGCCACGCAGGGCAGTGAGTTGACAAGGGTATTACTATCTTGCTGAGCATCACATGACATGAACTTCTAACCTTACTCAAGAATGTTATATATTTTTCACATTGACTGATTTTACTAAACGCCCCCCACAGACTTTTCTAATGTAAAATATGTAAGCAAAAACAAAATTAATCTTGTGTTTCTTACAAGTTTCTTCATGTTCAAACTTAAATATCTTGCAGATATGTGAGTGACTGTGTGTGTGTGTGTGTGTATATATATATACACACACATATATAAAATAAAGATTCCATTTGATTTTTTTCAACATTATAGAATTTGCTTACTTCTCTACAATCATTTTTAAACCTTGTAACACCAAGGAAGATATTCTCCACTATCTTATTCTCATACGTTTCACCTGTTGTCATGTTTTTCATCTTTGCAGAGTATCTGTGTTTCATAACAATTCTGTTAGCTTTGTCCAATAATCTCCTCTTGTATGTTTTTAAAAGCAGGAGTAAGAATATTGTTTAAATCTTTCACCGGCTGGCTAATATATTTTTTTCCTTCTCACTTTCTTAATCATTCATGCCTCTCATGACAAGAAATATAATAAGGTGGGTTTTTTTTTTTTTTGGTAATTTTGAAACTATAGATCATGATGTGGATACAACAGGAAAATTAATCCATGCAGTAAAGACAACTAACATAATTTGTGCTTTAAAATGTATGTTTGTGACATTTGCCTCATCCCATTTTTTAAAAAAACATATCTCAAATGGATTATTTTTCAGTGTTTAGGGGTGAACAGTGTTAACTTTTGCGAATCTACTGTGTTTTTGAGGCTGTCTGTGCTATTTTTTTGGTGTATGTTTAGCTACACTTTAAATTTTTACAAGTAAGCTAGAGGAGATTGCTGCTCTCTAAGGAACAAGATCGTTCCTGATTTTTGTGTCCAGATTTCTTATCAAGAATTCAAACATTACTTCCCTGAGGATACTAAGGCAAATAAACATCTACTGCCAGGGTTTTTTCCCCTACTTATAATTTTTCTGCTTTCTAACTAGTATTGCATGCTGAAATAGATAGACTAGTAAATCATATATGTATGTAGCTGTGTGACATAAACAAATTATTCTTTAACAGAGTTCTCATATGGGACACAAAAATGAGGTTGATCTTTGGATAACATCATCATCTAGATTATAGAAAGCACAGTTGAAAATGCGTCTTTTTCCCAGTATTGCCAAATCGCTAGCTCTGTTGCCTCTTTACAGCAGTGAGATTTAATGAAATGCTCATGATGCACATCTAGGGAGAGATGCATCTTGCACACAGTGGGGGTCTCTCTTCCCCTCATGTGCTCCTGTAACTCCCATTAGTGTTAATGGGAGTTTCACCAAGCGTATCAAGGGGAAGAGAGACCCCAAAGTGATAAGGATTATGTGTTAGAAATCACCATATACTTTTCTTTTCCTTCTTTCTCTCCCCTCCCCTTTGAGAATCTATTGAATGAAAAACTATTGTAAGAGAATCTGAAAAAAGGAAGAGCAGCCTGGACAGCTGGGGAACCCACTGGGACAATATAGCTAAGCCAAAACCTCTACTCTAGTTTTTAGCCAAGGTTTGTTTCTTCCACCTTTTTGGAGCAAGCCTAAAGCTGAGCAGCATGGGGAAGACAGGGTAAAGAAACCAGCCATTTAGATCCTTTTACCTCCTGGCCAGTTACTGTGGGGGAAGGCCTGGCATGTGAAATGATGTCATCCTCTCTTTGCTCTAATTCCCTGACTTTTAAACTGACACTGACGGACTGCAAGGGGCACAACATTTGACCCATTTACCAGTTGATTTAATCTGACTAGAATGTTTCAACTTCTAAATCTCTATTTGTCTAAATAAGTGGTTTTTAAAGGAAATCAGTCACTTTATTATTAAGTGATTTTTTTTTTCCTTTTTAAAAAATGGACAATGTTTGAAGTGATCTGGCCAGCTGGAGTGCCCTCTAGTGTCCATTTTTAGAATTTACTTAATGTACGCTTTGGGGGAAAAATGTAATGTAGTGGCCACAAGCATTGTCAGTTCTTGGTTGGATTCCCAAGCTTGTGTACATCCCTGCTGGCATCAGTGATGAGTGCTCAAATGCAAGTATGGAAAAGTCAATAAAGTATCTGTCTCTCCCACTGCTTCCTCCCTCCCCACTCCCATTGTCCCTCATTCTTAGAAAACAAGAGACAAAAATTTAATAGAGGGATTTTGCTAGGTTGTACGTCTTCTAGTCCATCTTTATTTTCTTGTAAGTGAAACGTAGCATTCTGTTTTCTAAATATTCAGACTCCAAATTATTCAGATTCTTTTTTGGCTTTAAAATATTTTATATATTAAAGAGAATTTTTAAATTTTCTAGTAAACTAACACTTTGTGTAAATCACAAACTGTGTGTAATAAGATGAACACCCTAATGATGTGCTAATGTGACTAATTGTGTTGGAATCATAAAAAAAGATGGCTGTTTGAGAGCCATGTAACAATACTGAGATGACAACCCTAGACCAGCATGTGTCTCAACAGTTATCCCCTCAGAATTCAAAGATGACATTCCAGTGATATAAGTTGTCAGCACATATGTATTCTGCCTAGCTAGTGAATACACGGACATCTTAGTGATATTACTTGCATTCTTTTTGTGTTAACTCATCAAAACTCAATTATCATGAAATTAAAAACAGGAAACAGTTCTTAGTGTCAGTGTGTTTAACTGTTCTGTGTTTCAGGAGATCCACACTGTATAAGTGACAAAGTATTTATGACCCGCTTATTGTGGTATCACAGAGTGGAAAGTGCTAAATAATCAATCAGTTAATGGTCTGTATGGCAGTTTGAGCACATCACATCCATTGTGCTTATGCTGTTAGAAGGATGAGCTGATACTCCAGTGTATGTTGCATGTTTATTCACAGCCTAATGTCCTAAACTGGGGCTGACAAAAATCTGTTGAAAAATGCAGCATCAACACTGACTATTTCAAAGTTGCTAAAAAATTTCAAAGATAACTTTGAGTGGCTTTGGGTACAAATATCACTAAGGAAAACTGCTGCAATTACTCTCTATATCATTTCCACATTGTCCTCGTCCATTAACCAGCTCTAGGGTTTAGCGTTTTGTTTTTTTTTAATTTTGGTTCCTTAGTTTTGGTTTTATATTTGTACATTAACTCCATAAAATCTTAGTGTTGGTAGTTAGCATTTCTTAGGAGAATACTATTATTTTCATGGAGTGTCCCAAATTCTGTGAGATGGTTATTTCATAAAGTGTGTGTTACATCTCCTGGATATTGCCCATTGTGAAGTGTGGCAGACATACTTTCAAAACATGTTGCAAGTGGGCTCAGATCTGTTCTTTAAAATAAGTGGGAAGCAATCGTTAGGTGCTGTTTTGATGACGGCATATAGCAGTTACAGGTTTTAGATGAAAGGCAGAAAAAGAAAAACAGAAATTTAAAATCAGATCTTTTTGAAAGCTGCCTTAAGAGGATATTGAGAAGTAGGAGTCATGGGGATGTAATAAAATACTCATTTACTCAGGACAGAGTTTTTTTTAGATTATTTTGGTGATCTAGGACATTCTTTAATTTCTGTTGGTTTATTTTGAAATGAGGGGTTATTACATGAATGCCCTAACTCATGCTTTCTCTTTCTTTTTCCTAGGGGATAAGAGCACTGATTATGCTAATTTTTACCAGGGTTTGTGGGATTGTACTGGAGCTTTTTCTGATGAGTTGTCATTTAAGCGTGGTGATGTGATTTACATTCTTAGCAAGGTAAGAAGATGCCCCAAAATGACATTTGTAAAGAGGGATACAAAGCTTGATTTTTAATACATTTGGATTCACAACACTAGGGGAAAAATGCCAACTGGAATTCCTCTAGGTCCTTGTTAACAATTGGGAGTTCACAATAATTAATTATTTTGTCAAGTGAAATGTAATCAAATTTTAAACACAATCAGATAACAGGATTCAACTTAACAGTCTGTTTACCTGTCACTTCAGCCCTTGGCTCACATCCACCTACTGCCTTCTCCAGAAACAATATACTTATGTGAAAGCTAACATTGTAAGGTATTAGGTTATTTATTATGTTTTTCTTTCCTCTTCCTTTTTATTCTTCTGTGTGCTTATTCTGATTTTGTCTGCCATTCACTACTGGAAACACTGTGTTTATAGAACAAGTTTTTCATCTTTATGTAAATACATTGGGTGTTCCGACAATTTAAAAGCAATGCTTTTCTATTCAGACAGGCTTAATTTTTTTTTTTTTTTTTTTTGAGACGGAGTTTCACTCTTGTTGCCCAAGCTGGGGTGTAATGGCACGATCTCGGCTCACTGCAACCTCCCCCTCCCAGGTTCAAGTGATTCTCCTGCCTCAGCCTCCCAAATAACTAGGATTACAGGCATGTACCACCACGCCTGGCTAATTTTGCATTTTTAGTAGAGAGAGGGTTTCTCCTTGTTGGTCAGGCTGGTCTTGAACTCCTGACCTGGGGTGATCCGCCTGCCTCAGCCTCCCAAAGTGCTGGGATTACAGGCGTGAGCCACCTCGCCTGACGGCTTAGGTAATTTTTTAAGTTGTTTAGCATACCGTGTTTGTAAACAAAATGGCAAAGTATATTTCTACAAGCCCATCATATATATTCATATACATATATATATATATATACACACACACACACACACACTTATATCTGCTTCTTAAAATACTTGGATTATTCAGAATCTTTCTTTCCTTAGATCTAAAAGTCGAGTTTCTTATCTTGAGTATACTTCTGGTAATGTATGTGAGCTCCCTTAATTTTCATATTTTAATTTCCCCTATTTTAATATGGGGATTTAAAATTTTCTCTTTATCTACTTACAAGACTACTTTAGAAACAAATGATGGATGAAAACAATTTAAATATAAGTAGAAAATGTTAAATCATAAGTCTAGGAGTTTGATGTGGTTTCTTTCTTGATTAGAGAAATATTTTGGACTTTTCAGAGAGATAGTATGAGTTAGTTGTTAGATACAGAAGACAATTTTGAAAGAAGATCACATACTGAATTTTAACACTAGATGGCTGGTGCATAAAATCATAACACAAAAAATCATCGAATGTTAGAGTAATGGGTCTCAATGATGACCATCTAATTCCTGGTTTTATAGAGATAAAGGAACTTGGGTCAAGAAAATGCCAGAGTCATGACTTGAGCTGTGTTCTTGACTCCCAGACCAGTGCTTTTCCCTGTTTTCTGTCCTGTCCTCCCTCCCTCCTTCCCTCCTTCCCTCCCTCCTTCCTTCCTTTCCTTCCACACCTACAATGTGCCAGAACCCATTCTGACAACTGTGATAAAATAAATAAAGCCAACTGTGATAATTGCTAGTTAGGATGCCCAAAGCTAAGACTGGTCACTTATTTCTCTCAGTCTTCTGCTCATTACTATGGGTTTTTATTACTGTTGTTCCCAGAAAGATGCTTTCAGTTCTTGGACACTACAGATAGTCACATTACAAGTCTTGATTAAGCCTGTTATTGAGCATTAAATTGTCTTGAGTTAAGACAACAGCTTTTGAGTTATTTATTTAATAGAGAAATCAAACTGATTAGTTACAGCTCCTGTCAAGAAACTTTCTTGGAATCATTCCTAAATTTATATAGCTCACAGTCTTTTTAAAACCAATTTAACTGCAACTGTTTATAAAACTAAAACATTGGTTAGATTTCACTTGCAAGTTCAGATTATAGGAGTGAATGGCATATAGCTATTATACTCCTTTCTTAAATACAAAATTTATAAAGCCCATGTGGATCCACTTATAAAACCTTCTTTATGAGTCAGGTTATCTTTGTTGCTGAAAGCCTAGGTAGAGCACCAGATTCCAGAACTGGCTGGGAAACAAGCAACCATAGGCATGTCTTATTTCTACGATTGCCTCAGAAAATAGTTTTCTGTTAACATGAAATTAAAAGTATAATTATAGGTGTGTATCATACTTTTAGGATTCTAAGGGAGGTAGTTCCTGTTTTGCGGAGACTAATTTTATTCATGAAGCCCGATTAGAGAACAAACATTAAAGGTGTTCCAGCCCATGGGAAGCACATATGTCCATCTAAAATTTTTATGCTATTATTTAGGAGAGAGCTAATCAAAAATAATCCTCTGCAAGCTTTTTGCAAGGCTCGAAGTTTCAGTCTTATGATCATATTTATTAAGGGCCTTCTAGAGATGAGTAATTTACCTGGGGTTCATTTCGGTGTTTGAAAAAAGAGCTAAGAAAGAAGACCTGCTAGCCAGCACGTTTTTACCTTTGGCTGAATCGGGTTCAGTGTTCATTGTCACCCAGCTGCGGAGCTAGTGGAATCAACCTGGTAAATCTTGGTGAGGGTGAAAAAGAAAGGACACTTAGCTTTCCCTTGATGTGATTTGGACATATTCTGGGCTGTTGATGGGTGTCTTGGCTGTGAGTAGTCAGGTTGCTTTGGGGTTGACTCTATGTTTGTGCAGACTTCTTTCCCTACCTCCTTTGGACAAGTTCGGCTAGGAATATCTTGAGACTTTCTAGTAGTCGTTTATTGACTTGGCCTTCCAGTTTTATCAAAACTTTGGCAAACTCAGACCATAAGTTAATACCATAAATTCATTTAATATGGGAATAACTGCAATTTTGAATGCTTGACATTATTATAAATTAAGTACAATTAGTATAGAAAACTCTTGCATTGTTAGTTGCCTCGAGATTTGTTTAATCAAGTTTCTCAGAGTTATATTTAGATTTCGTCGTGATGGGATGAAATTTTACGTTTCAATTTATTTTTTTACACCATCTAGTGGCTCAGAATGAGTGGTGCAGGTAATTGCAGCTATTGTGCACAATCAAAATGGTGTCATAAATTCAACTTTAAATCCAGCTTTGGTTATTACTTTCCTGTCTCAGGTCAATAAGATATTAGCATTAATCATGAAATATTTTGTTCATCATTCTGAATTAAATATATAAATTGCATATATAAGGAAGAATACATTTTAAGGATTCTAAAATAGTATTTGTAGAGACATAGAAAATGTGTACTTTGTAAAGAAATTAATGCCATGACTTGTCTATTAATAATAAATAAGACCATTTAAAAGTTGTAAAGATATGTAGCTTTCTTTTAGTAATGTACTCATTTATAATTTGAAATACCAAATTATCATTGTTTGATTTGATTTACCATCTAGAAGTTTGTCAGTTCTGAGAATATTCTTTAAAAAGGCAACACAAAATACTTTAAGAAAACATGCATGCTTTCAATATAAACAAACATTTAGACAAAAGAAGAAATAAAATTCCATGCATGATAATGAAGAGCATTTTAATTTTGTAAATGTAATGGCAGAAAAACATTGAACTAGCTTGGGGATTAGGCTGTCTTCATTTAAAAATCACTATAGAAATATAGTTTGATTTTAAAATTCAATACTTTTTTTTCTGTTTTGCAAGAAAGCCTTGATGGAATGTTAGCTGTGCTCAGTCAACCTGGGGATGATTTATTTATTTTAGGCCTCTTTTGAGAGTTACATAAATCTTAGCCTTTATTTTTTATTTTTCTTCTGGTGCAAATCAAATGTTGCAATAAAGAAAGAAGGCAGATACTGTGCTCTTCCCCCTTCCTTTTTTAACATTTTCCAATTAGCAGCTCTCATGTGACCCCTGGTTGAGCTAGCCCCTCCTTCAAAGTGTCCAGCATTTTTTTAGTTTTAAACTTTGAACCTCACTAATAATAAATCTAAATACCGCTTGCCTTAAAAGGCAAGCCAGTAACTTTTTGCTTTTCATTTCTTTTCATATAAGGTTGTTGCTGTTTTTTTATGTGTTAAAATTAAAATAGTTCAGTGGAGATTTGGAAATCTCTTTTTTCTAAAAAAATGGAGCAAATTTATAAACACTGATGAAAGCAGAACTTGTGATTTTAATGACAGTTATATTGTTAGTGAATTAACAATTGGTTTCAGATTCATTTGACGGGGGGAAATCATATTTGAGATAGAAAACCTGTATTTATTTTCTTAAGAAATTGGGTTGTTTAAAATAATACTTTCTTTTATTAGTTTTTATTTCATTTTTATTATCACTAAATGAAACAGGAACATAATATCATAGCTAATAGTATTTTCCTAGAACCAGATTAGATAGCAGTAGGTATATTACGAGGTCTCAAATGCCTTTTTGGTTATGTTATTCTTTTTTGCTCTTCTGGATTCCTATCCTCTATTAGTTTATCTTTTAATCGGTACTCAGATAAATTGCTAACCACATTCTTATAGTTACTTTTAAAGCAATAAATTATTTTTAGAGATTTAATAACAGACAAGCTATACTTGAGAAAAGTGGCACACTACTTTGATATTAAAAGAAAAATGAGAGAGTTAAGAGTTCTGGAATATTTTATCCAGTCTAGGCCATCTGTGTTTTATTAAGTCAAACACAGGAAATGTAGGTGAAGACAGTGGTCACTAATATACAATAAAAGTGTGCTTTTCAGTGTATATTGGTTGGAGTTTCAAGTGGTACCTCCCTTTATATCTGTTTAGTTGACTTTTTCCAGTGACTGGTGAATTGTGACTGTCATTGACCATTTACTTCTCATTGTAAGAATGTAAAGATTCAGTTACTATGGCTTTGTTTGGCTTCAAACCAATGCTAATAAATAAAATGAAAGTCTTGTTGAGCTCTACTGGCAGAGGGAAATAAGTTAATTTTTAGCTTAGTTTTTAATTTGTGACCATATGATCCAATGTGC